TTCAAAGGATAAAGGAGAACCGCTTGAAAACGAATTTAACAAAACTAATAACCGAGTAGGAAAAACGAGCGGCTTTCTAACAAAGCGTGAACAACGTAAGCCACCTGTTACAAGGTTACGAGAACAAGTGATAAAGAAACTGGTGTAAAAACTGGGCGAAACTACTGAAAGACTAGATGTTCAGTCAAGCACAAAGAAAAGGGACATAAGCACTTACATAACAGTCCCGCTTGTAAGAGTTTGACCAAAAAGAACTTCCAGATAAGGTGGGCAAAAGGGCGCTTTTCGATAAACACGTCTTATCGTTAGCTCAAAGCAAGACAACTAAATAGAATGCGGTTCTGGGTGGAACTTAAAGATCACGTCCCTCATGGAAAAACAGTAACGTCACTATTGCGGTTTAACACGTCTAACACGAAACAAACTTATAGCGAATCAGTGTCCGGTGGCAAAGGCGCGGCAACCATTACAGAAGTGACACAAAAAGCAAAGAGCAGGTTTCCATGTCATGCCTTCCATACTGATCACGAGTTTTTACCCTTGCCAGGCGCTTATAACCTCCCCCTCCCCCCCCTTTGTTAAGCTGTTTCCCTTCAGCTTATTATTTTTCGTTTTTTAGCATCCTTTGTTTATCAGAAATGACACAAAGAGAATGTTTTCATGCCACACTTTACACAATGATCACGAGTTTTTACCCTTGCCAGGCGCTCATAACACCCCCTCCCCCCACGACCTAAACGTACACTTATTTTGCCAAGTCGAATGCTACATCCCTTGCCTCGTTGTACAATAGAAAGAAAGAGACGAAAATAAGCAACAGCAATTACTAATGCACACTTGCAGGCGATGTTTTTTGGCACCACACACCGCTAAGGTCAACGATGGGGGCATTGGGATTATTTTCGGTTTTGCGGTTTCTATTAGACCCAATGCCCTCCTCGTCAACCAAGGAGAGCCCCTTCCTCCCCCCACCCCTCCGGGTCCTCAGGGTGTTGCTTTAATATCCCAAGGGAATATTAAAGATAAATTAAGAAAGTCTAACAAAATGTCAACACGGTTCGTGTACGTGCTACGTGCCACTTGGCAAGTTTTTTCAGTTGTCTCGGATCAAATGCAGTGACCTTGCTTGATATTAGTGTTTAGCCATACAGGATTTAGATATTTTTTTAACTCCTCAAATATTTAGGTTCTTCAACAATTGTATAGCTTCAAGTGGAACTGTTCATTCGATAAAAAGCCACAGACGACAAGTTTAAATCAAACTTGTCGCGGAAGAGAAGAGGTAACGTAAGCATGCATTGCCACATTGAATAAATGATTCTACTACTGCTGTATTTAAAAGTATTCCCTTGTGATCGAAGCACAGTTTTAACAAGCCTCTCCAACTTACTAGCTAAATCAAACCAAACGGATTGCGCAAAGAAATTGAATTATACTACCAAGTGTACCAGTATGTTGCATCGTCAACTGACATCTTATCTTTGAACAAAGCCTTCCAAAATGCGTAAATACAGTTTATCCCAAAGGGTAATATAGTTCTCCGTAACAAGGTGTTTGAGAAGAACTGAGGACACTCAAAAGCATGGTCTGTAATGGATGTATTAACCTCAAAACGTCTAAGGTAACGAGATTCGCTTGAAAAAAGTAACAAGTAGTTGACAGTCTGTAATAACGCATTCACCCTTTTTGGGGCACCTTCACGCGCTATCCACCAATGTCAACAGCTTATGTTACAGTATTCGACTGCAAGAGAAGAGAGCTGCTCCGATATATGTTAGACATGTATCTAGAATGTAGTATTGATATGAATATTGCAATCAACAATCCATCACTGAGGTGAAAAAAAACGTGTCAAAACAAGTTTTAGAAACTTTAGAGTGTTCTTTGCTTAAATGGTGGTTTCCTTACAACAAGGCAAATACTGGAGCATCTTGTGGTTTTCAGGAATATCATTCGTAAAATATTTAGTTGAGGTTTAGGCACTTATGCTTTAAATGTGTGGCAGAAATTTACATAAAGCTCATTTGGTTTCTTTTTTTGTTACTGTTCAGTGCAGCTTTCAAACATTTTTATCCACTTTTCAATTTTATAGAACTTGTAGAAAGTAATTTAGAAAATATCAGAGAATGCCATCATAGTTATTG